GGACTGACTCCAGAATTGGAAAACCACAGGATTACCTTTAGCAAGAGGGAAATGAATAAAATGCCTGCCACGAGAAAGGTGCTTTTATCAAGGCTGGTGAGACCACAGTATATGGTGTGGGCCCAAGCCCTCAGTAATAGTACTCAGTCAGGGCCAGGATTGCTGCAGACTTCACAGGATCTCTGGCATTGCTCTGTGCAAGATGTGGAATTTCCTGTATTTCATAGCAGCTGGCAACGCTTGGGGACTGTCAGTAAGCAGCTTCTGCACCTAAGTGGATAAAGTGCACAAGACATACCTGCAATTCAGCCAACCATGTGTTGTGCACTGTGTATCTGACCCGTGCAGGCCCTGTAGCCCTGTAGCCATCCGGACTGGCTCTGCATCCCAAGGCACTCAGTTGGCCAGGCTCAGTCTTCATTCATGCTGCATAGACAATCCACACATCCTACAAGGCAGAGTGAATAAACATGGCCTTTGTGAGTCACTGTGCATCCCAAGAATGGAATCTGTGAAGAGCTTTCAAAGACTCACAGTTATTGCAAGAAAAGCAAAATAACTCTTCTGGATTTTTTTCTGACCTCATCTGGATGTGGATGCGACCAACCCTGGCATCTGTCCAATGTTGCCTCAAACAAAACTATTTGTCCCATGAAGTCCTGTCTAAACTCATCTATCACGAGTATGACAGCAAACATTTTAAATCACACTTACAGTCATTTCTTTGACAAACTCTTTGACTCTGTTATATCAACTGCTGACAGAGTCAAGGACCTGACACCTGTCTGGAGGTGGCCTTTCTTGCTTTTTTTTTCTTTTATATTTTTACTGTTTTAGTCACCTACTAATATCAGAGCTGCTAACCAAAGAAGATGTGATTGTCTCAGCTGTCACTAGGATGGAAGTGGCATTGTAAATAACAGGATCCAGACCATATAGCACTTTAAAGATCCAATTACAGCAAGCCAATATACAAGTAGTGACAAATAGAAAGCCACTGCAGCCTTTCAAGAATCAAAGCAGAGCTTTCACAAGAACTATCACCATTGTCAGCTATTTCATTCATACCTCTGAGTACCATCTTACATGGAGTGTGCTGCAACAGCTCCTTCTCAAAGCTGCATGTTCAGCTTTAATGAGAAAAGGAAATGGTAGGCAGAAATAAAGTAATTGAACTGCCACAGTTATGGCAACCCTAAGAGCAGCTGAATCAATGAGAAGGGAAAAAGTGTATTGAGGGCAGTGAAGACTTTAAAAAGAAAGAATGTCACTGAGAAGGGCAAGGTTAGAAAAGCATCATTAAAGCTAGATATAAGGGTATAAGCAAAGGCTTGGTCAGCCTGAAAGAAATTATCTTCACAGAATTAAGCATATATTTAATTTGACTTCTAAACCAGCTTACACTTAACCAGTTTTCCAGTATGAACAGTAGCTGTTCTTATCAGAGCACATATCCCCTGAAATTTTGTGTCAGTGTCCACTGTATGTCAACCAACCTGTCCACAGAAAACAGTTCTTTTAACAAAATCATTGTGCTTTTGATATCTAGAGAAATGAAATATAATATACATTTTGCATATCTTTATATATTTATAGGTGACTGATGACTACAGTGCATCATCTGTTGGTAAGAAAGTGTTTGAACAGTTAATTTATTTTATATTTGGACATAAAATGTTAAGTCTGATTCTGCTAGCAATTCTAATACTCAAACTCTGCAGTTTTTTTGGATTCTTACCATATTTTCCAACAAAAATTTTCATTTTAAGGGGGCTTTTCAGAAGCACAGTGGCAAGTAAATATGGCAAGTAAAACTGGCAATACTCTTAAGATCAACTTTAACAGTAATCAAATCACTGATTTTGCTAGATGTCAGTGAACATTATATGACCTTTCATTAATTTATGTAATAACTTAGAGTTTATTTTTCCATGTTATGTTAAAAACTGTAAATTGAAGTGCTGTTACTACACAGGAGTTCCGATCACAATCCTATGTTTGTTTTGTAAGGAGCATGGGTTACCTGCCCCATCCTGACTTCATTGACACAACTTTATCAAGAAGAGGAACTACCCTGTGATTTTAAAAAATTCCTTTCGGTTGTATGATGTGGGCATGCCCCATCAGTATCCCTGCCAAGGTTTTAGTTTCACACTATTGTCCTCCTCAGGCTATAGCTTGGGAGGGAATCTCACAAAGGAGAATGGAGGGGACGAAAGTTAGGTAACTAAAAGATGGATGTCCATATCTGTACCAGTTGCATTTGGCTTCCTTTAGCACTGATGGTCAGAAAGGGACACCTGCAGAGAGCAGCTCATGTCCCTCTAAGGCAGACAGCTGAAGCAGATCCAACAAAATGCCCTCTGGAGACATTGTTGTTGTCATTTACATGGTGGGGTTTAGGCAGCTGTTTAGGTGGTGAATTGTATGTACCCCAACTTCAATATGTTGTTTTGAAAACAGAACCAAGCTGTCTAATCTACTTAGGCCTTCACCCCATGGAAGTCACATGCAAAGCCCATACTGGGATCCCAAGGTTACTGGAAATTTGCAGCTTCCTCAAGAATGCAGAGGTAGCTCTCCAGGACTCAGCATAAACCCAAACAAGCTCACACCCCTTCTAGGATACGCCTGGCTATTGCCATAGCCAAGTTGGTCTCTGACTGTTCTGCTCTCAGGGTACTCTGATGGGGCATGACAAGGGCATTCTGCCAACTCTTTGCCACTGAAAACAGTTTCATGATAATAAAACCCACAGCTTTAACAGGCTTTGTTACCCATTTGTATGAAGACAACTCACCTAGGCTGTGGTAGAAGCCAGTGTCCAAAGTTCAGATTTTGCAGTATCCAGCCACCACAGTAGTTTCTCCTTTACATTTTTCACCAGTACACCACGTCTGGCACAACCCAGTGCCTTTCCCATGGAGCTGCACACCTAACTGATTTTGCCACACTTACACTGGCATTGCCACACCTGGAGATGCCAAGAGGTATGGCTTAAGGGAAGCTCAGCCTGTGGAAAGGCTACTGGAGAGCTGTCTGGAGATGACATGCAGTGGTGGCAGCTGGGGGCCGTGTATTCCTGGGTGAAAGGATTTTGTGGGGCTGCCTTGGAGCGATGCTCACATCCCACTAGGTTTCATTAGCTCCTTTGGCTGCTGGAACAAAATATTCTCCTGTGTGGACAAGCACAGCCTGTTTTCTAGGACATTCAGTCTGCTGTTTAAATCAAAGTTATTCACTCTTTCCAGTCTAAAAGCAAAAAAGAGTTGTGGACAAGGGAAGGGTTAATTTTCAAAGCAGAGGTGACACAGATCATTAGTACTATAACCATTTACCTTGATTCACTGGAGCTTTATAATACCCATTGTGATGTGGTATTATAAAAAATATGGACTACATTCAGATTTCAAGTTCATTTTAACAGCAAGTAAAATGTTTGGCCACAAAATTTGCCTTTCTGTAGGCTGAATGTGCTTCCGCGCTAGCAGCTTCCAGGAAACTCTTAGGTTACAATTACAAGAAGTTAAAATTGCAGCAGCAGGATTGTTAACTGGAAGTCAGAATTTCCTTTACACCATTCCTCTTATGCTCAGTCCTAAGGCTAACTTAAATACTTTGTTTCTTTTCCTTTTCTGTTACATTGTTTTGGTATATTGGTACTCAGTTACTGTTTTGTTTTCTCTATCTGATCCTAACCTCTGTTTTTTGGTCTGTTTCTTTCACTTTACACTGGGTTATCTACCTAAAGCAGCACTTTCCAACAATCCTTTCACGTTATGGCACCTTCTCTTTTAAATTTATCATTAACGTGTCCAGCTCCTGAAACAGGTAAAAAAAATATTTTGTAGTCCTTTCCAAGTTTCCTAATTATATGGCCAGTAACACACACACAAAAAAAATGTAAGCAGGAAAGACAGTGACAAGAACTGATTAAAAAAGCATTTGTTCTGGGGAATGAAATTGAAATATATTTCATAAACTAAAGGAAGAGAAGAAAAGAAGATAATGGAGGGATTCAATTGAAAGATACAGGGATTTTTCTTAAAATGGTATTTTAGACAATTAAAAATTATGAGTGAAGATAACTAGAGCATAGTAGAAAATCTAAAGAAAGTGAGGTGTGATTTAATAAGTCTCCCAATCATGGAATCTAGGGATGATGCTTCAGGGCAGATGGTATCTCAAAGAGATCTGTGCTCTGCAAACATACATGACCCCTTTTCTTTAAATTAAGATGCAAGGAGATGAGCCTGAGAAAGTAAGAAAGTGAGAAAGTGAGAAAGGGCAGAGCTGGAATGCTGACTGAATGTGCCACAGGGACAGAGGACAGTTTGTTTGATCCTCTCTGTCTGCTATTTGAACAAAGATCTGAAAGATGATAAGTGCTGAAGACACTGTCCAACACATTAGGGGTTTTTCTGAAAATAAATTGAAAGCTTGTTGAAAGCAGGAGCATTTTTATTTAGTGGAATTTTAGTCACTGTTATAGGATTGAGCAACAATGTTGAGAAGTGGAAACAAAATTTGTGTCTGAACAAACCCAAGGCTTTATGTTTGCTCGCTTATTATATATGTAAAATATAAAAATAGCATATTTGTTTATATGGTTGCTTGCATCACAAATATGAGTTTTACAGACAATTTATCACTGCTGCAGACCCTGGAACATGCCAGTAAATCTGTGACCCTGTGTCTCCTTACAGCTGCTTTTGTATTTGGAATATAAGCCATGTTAACTCCTAAAGGATTTATCAGTTTAGAGGACAGCTGCGAAGTGTTTAGGAGAGAACCTAAGGACAACATGGCCCCAAAATAAATCTGGGTTTGGCTGCTCCATCTTCTAACATGCGAGACTTCTCTACAGAGAAAAAGACTTCCGATGGAGGAGACAGCCTTCCAGGGACCTCCAGCAATTACTTCCCAACTCTACACCACAGGCTTCGAAGGTTTTTTTCTGTGAATTCCTCTCCTCTAACAAAAGAAAACAACACAGTATATTGGGGGATGAATGGATGGAATATGTATTATTAAAAAGTAGCCAAAACATTCCAGCAGATGCACATTTTTCCATGAGTAAAAAAAAAATATATATATATATATACCCAAACAAAAATGTATTACTCACATTGCTTAATAGGTTTCTGGAAGGCTCTTAGGTTTTATGGTTGCTACAGATACTACTACACACAACAAGACAGCTGTAGCTTTCAAACAGACAGTAACCCAATAGTTTTGTTGCTAACTAATTTTGAACACACATGCAATTAAAATTAAATGCAAGGCCTGTATGACAGTTCTTGGGGGACAGAGAAATAACATCTAAATGATGTAAATCCTATATAGCAAGCAAGAGCAGTTTTAAATGTAAATTTCTTTTCTGTTTGTTTGCTTGCTTTTTTGAGATAATGTAAGTACATATGAAACAGTATACAGGAAAATCAAGGAAATCAAACTTAAAATGACCTTTTCCCTCCCTTTCAAAGGAAGGCTGACAAATGTTCATGAGCTTCCATTCATCATGTTTCATTGGAAAATACAAGACAGTGGAATCTGATTCATTCGCTCACAGGTATCCTCCTCAAAGACCAATGTGCTTAACAACTAAACAAATTTCAACCTTGTAAGAAATCCTAAGTCACATTGATCACTGGTCACATTTGAAAGGTTTCAAATATGGATCTGAATTATTATTTTAATTAGGAGATGTTGCTCTTTGGTAGTATTGCAACAGGTTATAAATTTAGTCTGTCATATATTCCAGGATTGATTATGAAGTATTTAACTTCCTGAGTATTTATATTTCTTAGAAAGATGTCTGACTTTTCCCCTTCTGTACTAGTAATGATAATTCCAGCATTCCATTTTACAATTTTCTTATTTACACCACATCCACAAATTCATTCTTGCAGCTGTTCCTCATGTGATTATTTCTAGTAGTCTCATTGTGGTTCCCCATGTGAATAAGGCTTATTGTTGTGGTATACCGTTATAGGCTACAAATATGCAAAAATTATAAAGGGACAGGAAACTTTCAAACCCTTTAAATATTTTTGTACTGTTTTTCAGGTTTGCTTGGCTTTTTTGTTTTGTTTAATTTTGTTTTAAGATTGCCCTGCAGCTATTTAAAAGTTGCTTTAAAAAGTTTAAAAACTGATTCCACTGAGTTACTTTACGTAAGCTAACCATAGCAAGTAGTTAGCAAGCAGCTTCAAAATCTGCCAAACCAAACCCTTAGCCAGTAGAAATTAGCAATTATGCAGTTATTTTTAATAGCTGTATGTTGTATTAAAATATAAATCTTTACAATAAAATATTCTAGAATAATTTTATTTTATGACAGTATACTGCATTTTCTTATGACAGTGTTTCTTATTGTGACTATGTTTATTATAAATGACAGCCAGAAGAATTGGCAAGGAAGAAAGCACTGGAACCAAATCCTAGCATTTTAGAGCATATACTTATACTAGAGAAACACTCTCTCTAAATACACTACTTGAACAGATACTAGACAAGCTGCAATATACAGGAAAAAAAAAAATGTTTTTCTTGTGAACAACATATGGTGAAAGCTGTTCCCTGGTGCCAGTAAGGATCTCTGCTGCATCAGTTCCTCTGCCATGGAGGTAAGTACTTGAGCTTTAGGACTCACCTATACTGTAAACAATCACTGCTCAGATGCTTTGCTGAATACAGATCATGTCCTATTATTTATTTCTCAGATCATGTCTTGGAACTGTATCTAAACTGACCTTGAAACAAGGAACACTTATCTGAATTCTTTGAGTAGGAAGAAGTTACCTACTCAGAATGGTAGAAATGTGAGCTATGCTGAACTAAGGGAATGAGCAGCAAGTCAATAATGGAGGATTTGTGTTCACACAGACTACTTTGAATTACAGTGTCTGCAGGAGACCTTATCAGTGCTTTTATGTGTTGAGAGGTTATCAGCCATCTCCTCGATGCTGCTCTTAGTTTAAAATGGGTGGGGAATCACAAACATTAACACTGCAAGAAATATATTACTGATTTTTGTAAGTAGTCTCATAATAATACATACTGCACATGAATACTGATGAAGTACCAGAATTATTCTGCAGTTTTAATGGAAACATCTTTAACAACATCAAAGAAAGACTGATTACAGATAAGAAATCCAGGAATCGGCATATGGTCTGGCTTAACTGGAAATCTCCATCCCTACTGAGAAGAGAAATCCTCTTCTAAAGGTTTGAACAATCCTTATGCTGATGATAAAAGAAAGATGTATCCCATGGTAGGCTTTTAAGCAGCTTCTGGTGGTCATGGCATGACACGAAACATCTCTTAAAAGTACACAGCAATCCTAAACAGCAGTTCACGGAAAACTGTGAAGGTAAACAAACATTTTAAATTGTATAATTTAAACTCTACATAATTAAAAAAATATGAGTTTATTGGTACAAAACATTATGCAACTATTTTTACTTTTGTTAAGTGTAGGTTTTTTTAACTTAGTCCAACAAAAACTATATAAACTGAGTTTACAAAATCAGAGCAGCCACTCGGAATTCCTGCATCAATTTTCTATCAGGTTTAAAATCACACAGTTGTCATCCACCATTGGCTATAGAAGAAAATTATGAACTCATTTCATATTGCATGACTAACTCTCCAAAACATGTTAGCAATACTCATGGGTAGAGTCTTACAACTAGTGCTGAAGAAGGAATACTGTGCCAGAAGCCTGAATGAAACTGATTGACTGAAAAACTGAAAGAAATGTCATAATTGTCTTAGGAGTCAGTAGGAATGACAGAAAGTGAATTATTTTGTATCCTCGTGAACTTGCATGGGAATATATTTACAGAGAACTATAGCTACCCTGGTTGGAGTTCAGCCAGGTCATGGGAGGTAACATCACCTCTGCTTTCAAGGAAAAAAGAAGCTACATTTATGCTGTGCATCAGTGCAGAGAAACATTTTGTTTGCTTATCTTAATTCTGTAATACCTCTGCTGGATTGGAAAAATGAGCTTTTAAAACTGCACATGAATGGGTAGAAAGATCATGTAACGTTTACTTGGTCCTTCCTCATGTTTCTATTGGCAGGGTTACAAGAACTAAGGCTAAAACACAGAGTTACACTGAAATTAATGACATCATTCTGCAAAACAGGCAATGGATATAGCCTTGTGAACAGTAACATGCTGGAAATTATGGAGAAACTTCCACTAAATGCTTCTTCCTTTCACTTCATGATGTAGCCAGATTTCCAGGTAAGGAACAAACTAAACTAATTTTTGCAATTCCATTTATGAACAGCAGAAACATCTATGTGTTCTTTTTACTAATATAATTGAAGGAAACAACCTTGAAGTAACTTAAGGTATATCTCCTCAGTGGAAATACATATTTATTCTACCTTACACTAACCAGCTGTTTTCAGGTATTTGCATTTAGGATGAACTTTGTAGACCTGAGGACACCATCTGATTAAAAAAACAAAAAACCAAAACATGTTATCTTAAAAAGGCACACTATGGATTTCATGGAGGAGAAGAGACCAGTGCTGTATATTCAAAGTAATTTTTAAATGCTTTTACCCTTCTGTACATAAACCTTGGCACCTTCTTATGTTCCACTGGGGTGCTGGGGAAGAACTAAATGCTTCTATTCAGAAATATCTGTGTGGACTGCTTGTATAATATTTCGAAGGGTAGATTAGCTGTACCTGGGACAAAATCAGTCTTAACCAGATGCAGCAAAAACATTCCATTATTCTTTTCAAGCTTTGGGAGAATTTTAAAAAAGAGCTCAAATAAACCTACTCCAGCACAACATTGAATGGGTTAGTATATTTCAAGATGCTAAAAAATCTACTTATCAGCAGTATTGTTTTAATTTAACTTTTACAGGTATAGAAAACTTGTAATTCATTTTAAATCACTGATAAAATGCTATCAAATGTAGCTTTTTATGCTGCTGCCTTTCAGACTACAAAAAAAAAAAAAAAAAAAAAAAAATCAAACCTCAGAAGACCCCCTACATCTTCTCTTGATTTTAACATCTATTCTTGTTTATTATTTACAAAACCTCCAGACTGTTTAACTAATATTTAGTGAGTACAACCTTGCTTCCTCTGATCTTTTAGCACCTACTCTGGCCATATCATAGAATAAGCTGAATTGGAAGGGACCCACAAGGATTACCAAGTCCAACCTCTGGCTCTGCAGAGGATACCCCAAGAGTCACACCATGTGCCTGAGAGCATTGTCCAAATGCCTCTTGAGCTCTGTCAGCCTGGTGCTGTGACCACTGCCCTGGGAGCCTGTTCCAGTGCCCAGCCACCCTCTGATAGAAGAACCTTTTCCCTGACATCCAACCTAAACCTTCCATGACTCAGCTTCATGCTGTTTCCTCAAGTCCTGTCACTGGTCACAAGAGGGAAGAGATTGGTACTTTTGGTGACCTTTAGCTCAACAGCTCTTTCCCAATGGAAAGGATTTTCAGGTCAGAAAGGTTATGATCATCTTGACCTCCACAGCAAGAAAAGCCAAGAAATTTTATAATGTGAGCTTTTCTTTGAGTCCATAACTTGAGGGATGACTTAGATCACAGGACTTAGAAAAGCCATTGAATCTTTATTTAGAAATTAGGAAATAGAGCTTAGTGGGTCCTTAGGGATAATACCAAATAACTCCTCTTGTGGCTAAAAGAGCAGGATGTTACTCTACATGAGTATAATTTCACCTGCCATTTTTTGGTTCTCATTGTCATCTTAGCTGAACGATTAAAGAGACTTTTAATATTTGAAATCCTAGTACATCATGATCCAGGCTTTGTATAAGCTAGACAGATGCTTCTTCATTCTCTCCCTGCAAGGCAGATTTTCCTGGCTTTTTCAGTTTGTCAATCATTTGTGTTAAATGCAATACCACTATTTCAACAGAAGTTTGATGAATGCCATATATAACATCATCATTACTACTTCTTAATATTCCTTCACTTTTAAATCCAAAGTTCATACCATAAGCATTAATCTTCTTGAGTAGTTCATAACCACACTATAACACTTCTATAATTTGACTTGTAAATATTCTTTGTACTTAGATGCCTTTCTTTCCTATAAATATTTATATCTGCATCTGATTTTTTTTGCTTAAAGCTATGTTGCAAGTTTTGTATAAAAATATTTTTAATAGAATATTAGCATTCAATAGAATATACCTTAATGTCTTCATAGAAACTCATAATTATACAGTCACCCTTGCCAGGTTAAATATTAATCCCATTAAGCAACAGGCCTAAATTTCAGCAAAATATGTTGATATTAGAAAGTCAGTAATTCTTTAAATCCTACATGTGATTCTTAATTTTGACTTTCATGATTTTGTCAGAGTCTCATAATGTATTTTAGCTCCAAACCCCCTTTGCTTTGCACTTCTAGTGGACACCAAATCAGTTTCTCTTCTTCATTTTTGGAAAAAAACACACGTCAATTATTATCATGAATGATTTAGAATCCTATAAAATTCTGTGCCATAACTTAGTTGCTCTTGAAAGTTTAAATGTTCTAAGCTTTACTGGTTGCTATTTTGCATCCTTACTAAGCACTGATTGAATAAAACATTTGCAATTACATCCATTAAGTATTACGGCATTATTCAGGTTTCTATTAAAAAATAAACCCTTTTCTGCATTGGTATTGTTACTGAAAGTTGTGTATTTCAAAGTAGCAGGGAAGCCATGCCATTGTCTAGATATTTTTCTTTCTTGATCCTCATGTTTTAAAAAAATTATTCCTCTTGCCCTTTAGGCAATGATCCAAGAGTTTTCATTCCCATATTTAGCTACTATTAGTCATTCTCATTGTTTCACAACTGTAATTCACCATTTCTGCTTATCAGCTTTCATATTTTCCTTTTGTTTTATACACAGAATTGTCACTTTCTTTTTCTTTATTTAGCTGAAAAGAAACTGTGATGATTGCCATAACCTCATTTTTGGGATATTCTGTATGGTTTTCTTAAGTAAACTATCATTTACCAATTTTCCTACATACCTCTACCTATACAGGTGTCATTCAGAGTTTTTTCAGACTTGGAACACTGTCTTTTTTCCAGAAAAATGCATAATACCCATAAGAACTATTTATACATAACAAACATGGTTAAATTATGCAAATATAGTTAAATTATACCATTTTGCATTAAAGAAACTATTAAAATCTCTAAACTATTTTTATTTTGGTCAGAATTGTCAGAATTTAAAACACCTGAGAGTTCTGAAAATAACAAATTATTTAATTTTAGAAAATAATAATCTATTATTTATATAAAATCTAGGGCATGTTTACTTGTGGAGGTTTGAGATCTAGACATATCCTACAGATTGAGATAAAAAAATTAAAAAGATGATTGTAAGATAACTCATTCTAGCTAAATGTTTACATAACTGCTCATCCAGTTCTGTATTCAGATAATCACTCTCACCAGCATGCAATTTTCTGATTTATCAGCCTAAACATTGATTCATAAACACACTAAGTCTTGGACTTATGAAAACAGAAACTAGTGCTTTTTACTGAGCCTGGCAAGTCACACTCTCTGTACATTATGTCTTTCTTAAGGTATAAACAAGTTTGAATACTCAAGTTGTGACAGACATCCTACTCAAAAATCCCAGCTCGTGCATTTGAATAAATGAGCCTTTGATGCAGATCTGCAGAGTATCTGTAGGAAAGATCCTTCAAGGACAAAAATTCTGTGTAAGATACAAATTTCTTCATTTGAACATTTTTTATCCTCTGTCTTTCTGAAGGAATTACCTCAATTACTTGGAATCTTATTAGTTACAGATGTATCTGTGAAGCAGCCAAAAAAGTAGGCTCTTTATCCAGCACTATGTGCACCCTCATACACAAACACTTTGTGCTATTTTTTCCCCCCTGAAAGCCCCCTTACCCCTTGTCCACAGCACTCAGTCCCTCCTTCCCTCCCTCCCTCCGTGGTAAGCTGTATATTCAGTGTAGGGAAGTGTTGTTAGTTTATATAAAAAGGTGCTTAAGAAGATAAAGGTGCACAAGCTCTAATGCTCTCAAATGCTCCAGGCATTTAAATGTGTCTAATGCCTGCATACCTTCCAGCAGCGCTGCCAGCCAGACTCTCAGCAGGAATTCATGGTAATTAAGCATGCTAGAGGCATCCACACTTTTACAGAACCACAGAATCAAATTCTTAGGGGTGGAAAGGACTTCTGAAGATCATCTAATCCAACCCCCCTGGAGCAGGTGACTCTCCCTCGGCAGCCTGTTCCAGTGGTCTGCCACCCTCAATGGAAGTTCTCCCTCGTCTTGTTGTAGAAATTCTTGTGTCTATGGCCATTGCTTCTCATCCTGTCACTGGGCACCACTGAAGTGTCTGGCATTATCCTTTTGACACCTGCATTTGAGACATTCATATGCATTAATGAGATCCCCTTGCAGTCTTCTCGAGACCAAACAGGCCGAGCTCCTTCATTCTCCCCTCCTAAGAAATTGTTCCAGAGCCCTCACCACCTTTGCGGTCCTTACTCTAATAAGGACACGTGCAATTTTGTCTACAAATAGGTACTATTTGTGAGGGCAAAAAAGGAAAGCCTCAGAGAAAAAGCTGGATGCATGAGCAGCACACAAGCTCATACCACACTGTGGGTGCTGCGGCTCCAGCACCCATTTCCCAAGGTTTTGGACTGTCACTTAAACAGCTCCATGTGCATGTGTGTCTACAGTGCTACAGAATAACATAATGGACCAGGCTGGAAGGGAGCACGGTGGGATGTCTGGTCCAGCCTCCCTGCTCAAGCTGGGTCATTCCAGAGCACGGGGCTGTATCCAGGAGGTTCCTGAATAATCAGCGAACGAGAATCTTTGATCTCTCTGGGCAATTTTTTCCAGTGCTCGGTCACTTGCACGGTAAAGAAGTTCTTCCTTATATTCAAATGGAACTTTTGTGCATCGGTCTCTGCCCGTTGCCTCTTGTCCTGCTGCTCGGCACCACCGAGCGGAGCCCGGCTCCATCCTCTGGGCACCCTCCCTTCAATACTGATAGACGTTGATGAGGTCCTGTCTCGGTCTCCTCGGGGCTGAACAGGCCCAGCTTCCTCAGCCTGTTCTCATACAAGCGATGCTCCAGTCGCCCATCATCTTTGTTCCCCGCCGCTGGACCCGCTCCAGGACACCCTTGCACGGTAGTGGACACAGCACTCCAGATGCGGCTTCACCAGGGCCGAGCAGAGGGGCAGGATGGCTCCCTCCCCCACGGAGGCCCGGCCAGGAGCAGCAGCCGCGGCGGGGGCACCGGGCCGGCGGGCAGAGCGCGGCCGAGGCAGCGCGGCGGAGCCGCCGCCGCTCCCGCCGGGGCGGGGCCGCTCGCCGGGCGGCAACTTCCGGCTCGGGCCGGCCCCGCCCCGCCGCGGCCCGGGTCCGGCCGGGCCAATGAGAGCGCGGAGCCGCAGCCGGGCAGGTAACCCACGGCCAATCAGAAGGGCGCTGCGGGAACAGGTGGGCACGGCGAGGCCCCGCCCCCCGCCCCGCTGGCGGCCGCGCCAATCGGGGCAGGGAGGGAGGGGCTGCCCGCGGCACCCGGCCCCGCGGGGCTGCGCTCCCTGCCCGCCCCCGACGGCCGCCCGCCGCTGTCCGGCTGTCCGTCCGTCCGTCCGTCCGGCGGCCGCGCCGGGAGGGCTGCGGCGGCCCCGCGCCGAGGGAGGGAGCGAGCGCGGAGGCAGCAGCCATGGCACTCGTGGCTCCGGAGACTCGGAAGTTCACGCGGGCGCTGAGCAAGCCCGGCACGGCGGCCGAGCTGCGGCAGAGCGTCTCGGAGGTGGTGCGCGGCTCCGTCCTCCTGGTGAGTGCGGCGGCGGCCCGGGCGGGGCTGCGGCCCGGGGCCTGGCGGGCTGCGCGGTGCCCCGAGGAGGAGACGGGCCCTTTGATCCCCGCGGGCTGTCACGGCGGCGGGCTTTGATGCCCGGCGGGCGCGCGGCCGCTCGGCGCTCGGGCGGCTGCCGCGGCGGGCCGAGGTGCGGTGCGGCCGCGGGCGGGGCGGGCGCTGCCGGCGCGGGGAGCGCGCCCGCCCTGGATGCGGCTCCCGGCGGGCACGGCCGGGCGCGCCCGCCCGCCCCCCGCCAACTTCACCTGTGGAGCGGGCAGCTGGCGCCCGGCCCGACGGGACCCCCTCGCTTTTGCCTGCGTCGAAACAGCGGCGCGAAAGTGATTTTTCACCTCGCTGCTCCCTACTCTCTTTACAACTAAGATGCAGCTTTTCGTTGTGTCGCGCGGAATGGAAGATAAGCGCTGGCAAGTGTAGCAGGAGGGTTTTAGCGTGTTGTTTATCCCGGCTGTCCCTGTTCCGTGCTCGCACATGGTTGCTCCTCTCTCCAGTGCACGGTTGGGCGCGTTCATTTAATTTAAACTGCTGAAAGTAAATTTGTGTAAATAGTTGCCTAAACCGGGTATTTTAGTTTAGAGACAGCTGAGAGAGGATGCCATCTGTGCATGTAAATATCTCAAAGGCAGGTGTCAAGAGGATGGTGCCAAACTCTTTTCAGTGGTGCCTAGTAAAAGGACAAGGACCAATGGCCATAAACAAGAATTTCCACCTCAAAAGGAGGGAGAACTTCTTTCTATTGAGGATGGCAGACCACTGGAACAGGCTTCCCAGGGAGGTCATGGAGTTTCCCTCTCTGGAGACATTTGAAACCCACCTGGATGTGTTTCTGTGTCACTTGCTCCAGGTGACCCTGCCTTGGCAGGGGGTTTGGACTAGATTATCTCTAGAAGTCTTTCCCAATCCTAGGAATTTAATTCTGTTAGATGCTGTACTGAGGCAGCAGGTGATGATATCTTAAACAGCCTCAGTAAGACTTTCCAGGGTTTCTCTTCTGGGACTCTTATTCATGGTATGCATTTGTTTTCTTTGTGGTTTTGTTATCTCCAAGGGGAATGTTTCAGTAAGCGTTTAACTGTGTAAGTGAAGAAGTTTTGCTGCTGGCATTCCTGACACTGGAAGATGATCTGTCCTTTGTTCTTTTCTCTTGCTAAGTATGATCTTGTCCGTTTTTGAACCTCATGTTGGGACAGTGTCTTGTCATAGCTATGTGTTGTGAGAGTAACAAATGCTGTAGCTGTGATTGAAAGACAAATACCTTTTTTTTAAAAAGACAATGGATCTAAAATGAAATTGCTCTTTAGTTATCTATGCTTCACATAATTTATAAAATGTGCAAAATTCGGAGTCTTCCTGGATACTGACAGCTTCCACAAGGGGCTAGCACGTTTACATGGAGTGAACATCCAAATATGTTAACACTTCTCCAGGGATCAAGTACTTTTTGGGAACTGTGGAAAAAGAGTTTATGTATTTTAAAATACTTCTTGTTTTTGGGAAGCACAAAGGAGATTTAGGTATTTTCATGACATTAATGTTTGCAGCATCTGCAACCCTGCCATTCCCTCCACCACCTTTACAAGGTTTTTCCTTAGTTCACTTATGACTAGTGTCAGTGATTTGGAAAATATTCATATGCATCTTTAATTAATTCAGTTTGACCATAATAATGGTCAAGCTGAATTAATTAAATTCTTAAGTATATAATAGGGTGATAGGCACTAATATCCCAGATATTTTTAAGCTGTCACAACAGCATATTTTGCAGAATTTTATGGAGATTAAAGAAGTGATGGTGCAAAGTGGTGTACTGGCTTGATCTTATCCTGGATAAGGTATTCATCAGCATTTTAGAAACAAAAGGAGTGACTTGCCATTCATGGTGATTTAACATTCATGTCAGGTTTTTGATCCTTTTATGTTAACTTGACACATGAAGCTGAATCTCCATCTCCCTCATGTGCAGTCTTGTGCTGAAGTTCACCTTCCTGTTTCAGCTGTATATTGCCCCAGCTGCTATGTCTCTCTTACTATAAGTACTGTTCATTTTATCACTGAACTCCAATGTTCTTTTGCACACACTGTTTAAGTAATGGAATAAAAGGCTAGTAATTACAGGTTTACATTTACTTTTTCTTTCTCCTATTAATATACTGTAATTCTTTTTGTTGAACATTGATGTTTAGAATGAAATAGTACTTTTATAAAGGAGAAATTTTAGTGGGATAGTATTTTTTTTTGCTATAGAAGACTTAAAAAAAATTACATCTCTAAGTTTGACAGGTTTACCTGTTTCTTACCTGAGTTTCTGGGCTTTGTTATCTGAATAAAGATATCTGGGCTTTGTTATCTGGTGAAAAGATGAGTCTTACCAGTGTTACAGTAGTTGTGGAATACTCTGTTCAGCTGTGGGCCTTTAAAGTAAGGGAGACCCACTTTCCTTCCAAAGCTGCCTCTCAAAGCTCTTTGATATAGCACTTTCCCAGGATTTTTTCAACTGAGTTGTTAACAAATTGTCTTGCTTAAAACATAGTTCAGCACTGGTAACTAAAGGGATCTTACTGTCATCACTTACTCATGAACAAGTGCTGAGGTTTTCCAGTACTGAAAAACTGCTGTTTGCCATTGACTAGTCATGCTGTGTAGAATCTGGAGGTAGGAAGGAATTAATTCCAACTAGTAGTTCATGGTGGATGATCTGTCCAGATCTTTACAGCCAACTATTGCTTTGGACTGTACATCTCTGCAGCAGAATGTACTGAGTAGTGATGCAAAACATCCAGTCATTACTTGCAGCAGCAGATAAATAGGAGCTACAAATATCTCTGAGCTTGAGTAGATTCTATAAGTTGCTATTGTGGCTACTGTTTAACAGTTCCATCCATTTTTACAATCAACAATATAGGGCCAGATTAAAAAGGAAAAAGAAAAGCTTTGTCTATCTTTAAATGGGGTTTATTAGATCACGTTACTAAAATACATGCTTTTTTCCCCATTTTATTAATGTCCTGGAGATTATATTGATGAAAGAGAACTGAAAACAGCATGTCAGTAGGATAGCATGGTACATCTTAAATTTTCAGATTGCTCTTCATTGGGTCTAAAAGTCAGAGACTTTCAGCCAGCTGACAGACTAAATAACTTGACTGTGTAGTAAAAAAATATGAAGCAGATGTGGCTTGCCAAGCTAGTTTTCATCACAGAATGAAGCAAGCTCTCTTGTCAGCATTTGACATCTCATATGTTCTCTCTGTTAGATATAGTTTGCTGAACCAACAAGTACAGTTTGGTTGGCTGAAATGAAATCTTTTTATTTGGCAATCAGCTTTTCACCGTGTTGTAAGGCACATAATGTATTTCTTGATTATTTGGATTCAGTTTTTATATTTTCTGCTTGACAGTAACATCCTTGCTGAATATTCTCTTGGGCACTGTTGATGTTGTTTCACTTCAGACTTGTCATGTGACTTAATTTGATGCTTCTGGCCACCCAAATATATTTATGTCTGAGAGGGAAGATTATGGGGATGACAAGTGTGTCTCTTAAACCAGCAATCTTGCCAAGAGCAGTTTTCAATGCAGTTTTAGTATTATGCATAATTGAAAGTGATGTCTTTAAGTGATGATGAGTTACTCAAAGCTTGTTGCATACAGATCAGTGTCTCTTTCAGTAGTACATTAATGATAACTCATCTCAAAGTGACAAAATTACTCTACGTTATGGTTATTTATAATAATATACCTATATTAGAGCTGACATTTAAGGATAATAAGCAATTAAGAGAATGTTTAACCTATAAAATTTGATCTGCCTTTGCTTAGCTGTGAATAAAATGCCTTTATTGAATATGCAGCTAATGAAAATGTTTAAATATGCCAAATAATGCAGCAAAAGTTGTTTCCCCATGTCAAAATTAATATTATACAGAAGAATTTTGAAATATGGGAAAATAAGATGAAATCTGAGAGAGTCTCAAATTGCTCTATACAGTTCTTCTTTTTGATTTGGATATGTAAAATAGTTTTTAATTATTTAAAGGCTAGAACTGTATCTTAAGATAGTCTCGGGCTTCATACGTTAAGTTCAAATACCTGATGGAGCTCTTGAGTTCTAAAAATCTTCCAGAAATTCAGCTTTTCAGACGTGGTAGAAAATCAGTATATCACAAAGGCAAAGACAACTCCTACTGAGTCTTTGATATCAAATTATTTGGTATTCTTTCTTTTCTTTATAACAAAACTTATGTCATCTTTGTCCTTCCAATCCTGATCTCTGCTTCCTGTTAATCTCAAATCCATAAGAAAAGATGGTGAGGTGCACTTAATGCTGTATTATTGCCAAGTTTTTAATACAGCATTTCCCCAGAAATACTGGTAGGATTATGCGGTATTTATTTTGGGTTGGCATTTTCCTGTCTGATTCCTGTATCATTTC